CCGAAAGCTAAAGAAGGAGTGCGACGGGATGGCAAGTGAAGAAGTTGATCTATCCAACAGCTTGGATGACTGCGGAAAATGCTGGAAGAAAACGCAAACAAAGAGACATAGTGGAAAGCAAAACTCACGTCTCTCCATACAACTTATATCACGGAGCAAGTACACAGTGCGAGAGTTTTGGAGAAATAAATTAGATTTGCCCGCTCGAAAGCGTCAAAAGAAGAGCAAGAATGCTGACCGAGGCGAAGCAATCGATGAGCAAAAGGAGGAGCCATCGAGAATAAAGACAGTAACGAGGAGAAATAGGTTTGATTGATGTGTTCCTCCTTACATGGTGTAGCCGACATTACCCATCAGGATTCCACATCGACCGGGTGCTGCTGCTGCTCCGCCTACTGCGTTGCTATTATTTGCTATTGTCTCAGTCCCTTCAAACGTCAAATTTTGTATGGCCTCACCGTCTACCTATTCTCCGTCGCCATTGTCGATTGCTTAGGAGAAAAGCCCAAGCTCAGTCATCTTGATCACTGATCTTAGTGCCACTGACAAGTCAATCTTAAGGTGCAAACAACAACGCAAATTCAATAATGAAAAATCACTAAGCTTCGCTTGTCACTGACTTGATCGTTGTATCGCCCATGTCGAAGTTAATTCGCACGTTGTGGCAAACGTCATTGCACAAATCGTGGCTTCTTACAGTAGAAAGTCGTGTGTACTTAGTTTTTCAAGTAAACGACCCAAGTTATCTTTAACATTAACCTTTTACAGACACAACCGTAATGTTTCAGCGCAAATCGGCCGTAGCAACTCGTACACCGCGACCTTGTCCGACGAGTGGTTCAGAGGATTGTGCTGCGCAGCTTTTACGAAGCCTCGTATACGTTACCGTCATACCGGTCTAGTGCCGAAAGTTGAGTGTCGAGTTGAACATGTGATCCGAGAGGTTGAAGCCATCCACGAGCGTTACAGCATGAGGGCGGATAAATGCGAACAGCTCATCGATGTTGGCACGAATAAAGAGCAATTCACTGGTGAAAACGCACGCTCTCCATAAACTTTCGGTGGTGGCTTTCAGCTGCGTGAGGGCGAGTATATGGCACAGTAGGCGCACGACGTTTAGAACCGCAGGTAAAAACATGGATTTTAATGTAAGGGTTGACAAGGCTTGCGGCTTCGGATAAGTTCTTGACGATGACTACGCTGGCATATGAATACGTCAGCTTTAAAGTGTCCATCAAATTATTCTGTAAGCCAGCAGTGACAGAAGCCTCTGTCGAAATCTTCTTTACGTAGGGACGAAGATGGTACAGGAAGCGCTGCTTAAGACTGTAACGTAACATGGAGGCCTAATTAACTATTGCTTGGTGCGAGGATTTACATCTGGCAATTTGTCGATATTTGCTAGGAATCAGCCTTGGAATAACAAATATGCTTCTTGAATCAGTCATGATTCATGTAAAAAAATTAAAATAAGAGCCAGCCAGTCCGAATAACCCCAATTATTCTGTATTCAAGTTTCAAGCTATTACGAGAGGCCGTACTCATTGGTACCAGGGTTCCCGGGCCCAGTGAGAGTAGTGTGTTCCATACTGTTTATGGACCTTGGGCAGGAAGAATTGAATCTGCGCCACTTACGAATTAACCCCCCCCCCGTGCCGGTGCTTACCCAGGACATGAAGGGAGGACATGGTGCTTGAAGCATTGGGAATGTCACGGCATCGTGTGTCCATCATAATTGACATGTTTTGAAGAATAAAGAGTTGAAGTAGAAGCGAGGGCATATGATACATGTACAATCTCCAGTTGCAGATATAATTTGATCTATTTTAACGTTCTTGCACTGATCAAGCTGCTGCTTTCCTTGCATCGATCAGAAAGCTGTCGATTTTTTAATGGTAACTCACTACTGTTGCCGCTATGCTGCTTGAGAACTCACTTGCTCCGTAAATATCGTTAATATATTGCTCGTCATTGCTTTTAACCGTTTCGGTGCACCAAGTTGCCGACGTTGTAATCTGGTGAATGACGAAAGAAAAGGAACGAGGCAGATTGCAGCATTACAGCAGTATTGTGCAATCCTTGTTGACATTGCACGGTATTGCAATGCTGTAGTCTGCCTCTTTTCCTTTCTTACCACGTAATGGCTGTGAGAAGAGCTGCAGATGGCCGGACACCACGACTAACTGTACTGCGATGTACATTTGCCTGACACTTGAATGGAAGTATGTAAGATAATCACCAAAACATCAATTGCAGATGATGCTTGCGGGCAGCGCGAATGTTAGACGAGGTGGTCACTTGACCCGTTTCATTCTCAAGTGCTCAAACGGCTCCTGACGAGATCGTGCCGGATGCTGTTACGCACATGGCAAGTCAATACTGCAATTGAGCGATACCGCACCATTCTACCACACATACATTAATGGACTCAACAGTCCCTTCCATGAAACCAGTTAAGATGCTCGTTTTGAGTCCTATGCGGTTTGTTAGATCTATATGCGCTGAGACCAAGTACGCTCCGCTACATGGTAGCTGTTTTCGCGTGGCTAGCACAACTATTTATTTTATATGAATTTTTGAAAATGCTTGACTAGACCGGTGTTACGACATATTGCTTGCTGATTAGAGCCGTTCTCACATGTTCTTGATAAGGACTAATCTAATTAACACGATTAAAAGTCTTTCGTACAACTATGCAGGTTGAGCAATTTTAAGGACTTGTGGTTTACTTGGTATATTTGAAGCTGAGAAAATATATAGGTCCTTAGTTCGCTACCCTGTGCTGCCTTTTAGCCTACTCATCTAATTCCTTATAGAAGCTTCATAAAGACGTCATCTAATGAAGTCAGACTGTGACGTCATGACCTATCCAGTGTGCAACCCTATCACACGCTCTGTCGCACCGCACGCACCTTGCGGCTTAACATCTTCCCGTACTTGGCTTCGTCTTGTTTGTCTTGAAATCCTGTACTAGTTGCTGCCAATGCGAAACTTAGCGGATAGCTTTCTCGAGCTCCCAAGTACAATCACACTTTGGGAGCCGTTCCATTTTACTAGCCATTCTATTTGACGGCTGCGCTGACGTCGTATTAGCAACCTTTTCACGATTTAAAGTTCTTTCCCGGTATCTTCCTCTAGGATAACCGGTGATGCTTTTGGAATCGGTCGCCCCGCGAGCTTAGAGGCATTCGGCTGGTATAGAAACCAGTCGGTCGACGTTGAATAGTTCGACGTTGAACACAGAGTGCAGTTTATTCATATTTCGTGGTACCTTCAACTTCGCTACGTTCGGGCTGATCATCTTGATTGTCTCAAATGGTCCGTTTTTTTGGCCGCGAGCCTTGTTTTCCTTAACTCAATGCGAGCATTTACTGTCTTTAGTGGTAGATTCTTGGTATTCAGTAGAAAAAAATCACCGTCATTATAAGGTAAGGCTTGTTTTTTAGAGTCGTAGTACTTATTCTGCTTTCCTGGGCTTGCTCTAGGATTTCGCGTGCCTAAAGCACTATGTTTTGACAATTTTTGGCAAACTTTGAAGCAAACTCTGAGATTGGTAGTGGATCCAGACTGTATACGGACACTTCTACAAAGTTGCCTCGTACTACTTTCAGCACAAGCGAGAAAGCGGTTAGACCGTCTTACCTTCGCGTGCGAGGGTGTGTGTGTGGTTGGTCGACTGCTGAAGAAGTCGTACTACCAATTGCCTCTCGCTCAAGCGAAAGAGCAGCGAACAACTAACAAGTGTCCTACTTACGTCACGCAGAAGCTTACTCAGCTTCTCGTGCGTAGTAAATTTAAGACTGAGTTATATTTAATGAATTAGAATTAAATATAAAACTTAACTACTGATTGGCTATATATGTATATAGATCGGATACGCGACTCTTTAGAAGCGTATCCAGATGCATGAGCTTAAATGTAGATTTAAGCTTGCGGATAACTTCCTCTTGGGACGTCGCGATGCCTAGCTTCAACTAACGTCATCCCTTCCCATGTGAATCCATCAATGAATATCACATTCACGAGGGTGGATCAGTTGGCAGAGGACTTTAGATAGAAGAAGGTTGTGTATTGGTCCTGTGAGGGTTAATTTCAGAAAGAGATGTATAGAAGTGCAGTTGTGTTAATCTGCCTGTGACATGTAATGATGTAGATCGTGACATCACGAAAGAAGGTATTGGATGATCTGGGGCCTTGGTGATAGTACCACTGTTGACTTGAAGTTTCAACTCGCCCCCACAAGTCAAGCAGGGCTTAGCTGATGACCTTGAACTCATCTCGACTCATGACGTGCAGTGCTCTGGTGAAGCGGTCATGCTTGATATGGCCGAGTGGTTTGGTCAGAAGGTCTGCAAGCATTTCTGATGCTGAGCAGTAGTGGACCGTGACACGCTTGGCTTGTACATTGTCGCGAACAAAATGGAACCGGATATTGATGTGTTTGCTGCTAGGTGAGCTGACGCTGTTCTCTATGTTCATAATTTCAGCTTGATTGTCAACAATTAGCGAAAGCGGTTCGTGGTTTGTTGTGAGTTTAAGCTCCGATAGGAGATCTTTTACCCAGAGACATTTACTCACACCTGTTGCAGCAGCAATGTACTCAGCTTCCATGGTTTATTGTGCGACGACGGACTGCTTCTTGGAATACGACGATATAGGCGAACCATTCATTGTTAGGAGAACACCGGTCGTGGACTTAGCGTCTAGCTTGGAATCGGCCCATGATGCGTCACTGAAGACTTTCAGGCGTGGTTGTAATTGAACTGAATTGAGCTTCTTGAAAAAATGCCGTGAGTCGAAGTGCCTTTGAGATATCGCATGAGGCGCTTTACACAATTCCAGTGTTCGGTGGTGGGTGCGTGTGTCGCTCTACTCAGAAGATTCACGGTCGTATTGATATCGGGACGAGTGCAGTTGGAGGCCCACAATAATGACCCCATAACGTCTTGGTAGAGTCGTTTGTTTGAAAAGAGGATCGAGTTTGGATCGTATAGCTTGTGTTATTCTTCCATTATCGTCGAACGGGTAGTACAATTCTTCATTTCGAGCCTGGCGAGGAGAGCATCGATGTTGTGCTGTTGTTGAAAAAAGAAGCCGAAATCCGTTGTCTCCACATTAATACCGAGGCACTTGCTGATTACCAAATCATTGATGTCGAATTTGTCGTGGAGCTGTTGCATAAGTGTCTCAGATAGGGAGTCATCCTGTGCAATTATAATGACATCGTCGACGTAAAGGCCGACAACTGTAGTGCCGATGGCTTCATGTTTGAAGTAGACGCACGGATCTTGGCGGCTTTGTGTGTAATTACACTCGAGAAGAAAGCTATGAATCAAGTCGTTCCAAAGTCGTCCGCTCTGTTTCAATCCGTAAAGGCTCTTCAGCAATCGATAAACTGCTCCTTCGTCTGGGGATCCGTGTGGCGGTTTCACGCAGATCGGGCGATCAATCGATGCACGAAGATAGGCGTTGGGAACGTCACCATGGCGAACTTTACAGCCCCACTGAGCCCCAAGCGTAATAAGAAATCCCGCGCTTGCCATTTTGAGTACCGGAGAGTATGTTTCGCTGAAATCGACACCATAGCGTTGGGTGAATCCTCTTGCCACGAGCCGGGCCTTAAACTTGTCGAGTTCTCCCATCAAGTTGTATTTGATCTTAAAAACCCATCTTGTTGACACGACCTTGGCCCCAGGTGGTGGGACGGCTTCCTCCCATGTATCATTCTTACACAACTGGTCCAGCTCTTGAATCATAGCTTCCTTTAGCTGTGGCCAAAATGGACTTGCCATTGCTTCGCGAATATTTTGAGGGTCCGGAACACTATCAGAGATATAAAGGTCCATCATTGCTGCACCGGAAATACTGGTGACGTCGATAAGAAGGGACGCAGGTAGCTCGAAGTCTTGAATGGGAAGTTGGGTATCGCGCTTGTGAACCCCAAATACACTGTCGATTTGGCGCTTGGTCAGTGTGACTTCGTCAATGGGTTCGCCTGTCTTGAATTCATCGTCGTCGTCGCTGCCTGAAACTTCACTGGTCCGATCAAGATGATCGGGTGATGTCTCCCCCTCAGACACTGGCGTGGTCTTGTGAAGAGCGTCGGTGGTAGCGGCACGATCGGACATTTGCTGAGCCTGGGGCTGAATTGTGGGGACAGCGTCAAGCGTATCGAAGGTGTCGACGAGGTCACCAGCGGCATCGATGTTAACGCGATCGACATTCTGGATGTTGGAGCTGGTCAAATACGTCTTGGTACGGGGAAGTTAGAGATTGTAGCCATTGGTAACGGGGTCGATGCAGAGAATGAACGCCTGTTCGGAGCGTTTACGAAGCGAGTTTGCAACTGCATGCTCTAGCCTTACGGTGCAGCGGGCACCGAATTTGAGAAAGTGGCTGACGTCGGGTACTTTTCCCGTAAGTACTTCGAGGGGTGAAAGGCGGTCTGCATTACCGCGGGTAGGGAGGTAGTTGCGCACTGTGCTGGCGTAGAGTATAGCGTTTCCCCAAAATTTTGACTGCATACCAGATGACCAGAGCATTGCTCGAGTTGTATTAAACAGCGTGCGATGGAAGCGCTCGGCCTTGCCATTTTGAACGGAAGTGTCCTTTTCGGTTGTCTGGTGTAGGATTCCATGGCGCTGCAAATATTGCCTCATATTGTCATTAACAAATTCACCACCAGGATCCGAGCGAATGCATTTGACTCGAACATCAAATTGCCGTTGAAACTGTGCGTGAAAGTTTACGAAGTTGTCGAAGGCTTCATTTTTCGTCTTCAGCAAGTAGACACAGTTGTACCCAGAAGCATAGTCAACACTGGTGAGAACATGCTTGTGTCCCTTCCGGTCGACTGGAGAGATGTTAATCTTAAGGTCTAAGCCGATGACGGCACCAATCTCGTCTGTAGGAGCTGATCTCGGAGTGTCTTGTTTACCTTGACGGTTGCGAGTTTGCTTAGCTTCAGCACACTGCATACAAAAAGGCATGGTTCGATTTGTCAGCTTTATACCGGCGGCAAGTACCTTGTCAGCCATACGAACAACATCTTGGTAGTTCAGATGACCTAGCCGCTCATGCCACTTGCGAAGGGTGGAGCTTTCAATTCGAGCGAGAAAAGCAGCAGCCTCATCAGCAGTATCAGATACTGTGGAAAGTGACCAAAGACTTGATTCGCGAGGGGCACGGGCGACGATACGATCATTCGTAGAGAGCGTACAGTGACTGGAGAATGAAACCACAAAGTCTTGATCGATAAGCTTAGAAACAGAAAGCAGTTTTTGTGGAAGGGCGGGGACGTAGTGCACATCAGTGAGCACAAATCGGGTAACCGTTACGTTTGTAATCGTCTTTAGCAGTACACTGCCTTTGCTGACGGCCTGAAGCACGGAACCATTTGCGACGCGAACTCATAAGAAACTGGGTGTGGGCGTGATAATTGCAGATGCGTTGTTTGTAAAATGATGGGTAGCGCCGCTGTCAATAAACCACTTTGTCGAAGTTGGCAACTTAGCGTCGCGGGATTGAAGTACGATGCATGCGTCAGCACCAATAAAGGCATTAGGGGTAGGAGAGTCCAACGGAGATCCATGATCGATACACTCTTCTGCCGACCCGAGAAAGAAACATTCCCCAGTTGAGTCGATAATAGTGTCGTCAGCACCCTCGACGACATACGATTCGGCGGCATGATCAGAAGGGCTTACTGCGGTGGCAACGCTGGCTTGTCCGACTCGGCGTTGAGCGTCTTGGATCACTGGGCAGTCAAATGTTTTATGTTCTGTCGTCTTGCAGACCCAGAATGGTTTAATGCCGTCTTTGGGTCGCGAGCGACTCGTGGAGCTGCACTGAGGTAATTTAGGTTTCGCTGAAACTTGCGTAGATGCTGTCGCTGAAGCTGCAGAGGCTTTATTTATATTTGCACTTGCATTTGAAGAACGCTGGCTGTGGCTACTCGACTTGCGGCCATCACCCAAAAGCTTCTCTAGGAGCGTAAAAGCTTTATTTATCTCGTCGTTGATGTTGGTAGCGTTGTAGTCAATGACGCTGGCGAGCTGAAGCTGGATCCCTGGATCTGTGGAGGCATTTTTGCAAAATGCTTCCAGAATAAGGGCGTTTTGATCACCGCCCATTTCTTTCCCAACGTGGCGCAGATATGCGTAGTACCCGTGCCATGTTTGCTCTGGTTTCTTAGGCTTGTTTAGATAGTCGCTCAGGCGTGATTGCGATAGCTTGCACCGGAACTCTTCACGCAAAGCTTCTTGGACTTCTTGGTACGAATGATTGCGGTTGTGTAAGTCGATAAACTCGTCCAGGAACTGAAAATAAAAGTCCGAGGCGGCGCCGTCAAGAAATGTGACGAGAAATGTCTCACGTAATTCATCCGTATACGTCGAGTTGTTACGTCGACCTTTACTTAAAATGGGTTGTTCAAACTTGCGCATAAAAAAAACAAAGCCGCCCCCAGGGTATTTATCCTTGCCAAATAAACATCTCACACTTGACTTCCTTTATCCGGGGTACCGTATGTGGCGCTAGCACTGAAGGTGCGAGGACAGGACTTGAAGCTGGCGATGGACAACTTGGGTGTGGAGCTAAATTTTGAGATAGAGCTAGTCCTGGAGATGAACCTGAATCTTGCGGTGGTGGTGTGTTTTGTGTCGGTGCTGGCGACCGTTGGGTGCGCGGTGGCACAAAATCATAGGTCGGAAGTGGCACTTGAGCTTCTTGATGAGCCGGATTAATCGAAAGGTTTTCAGAATTAATAGGTGAAGGTTGATCACGGTCCATACGTGATGTGTGGGTCGAAAGTGGCGGCAGTGTTCGCGCAATAATACTTCGTAACGACATTGCAGGGACTGAAGTCGTTCTTCTAAGGAAGCTCGAGTCGCTATCTCTGCAGCCAGGCGATCTTTGGCATTATTGGCTCGAGCGGTTTCTTGTACCAATTTAATCTCCATGGAATTTTTTATGTGTTGGGCTTCAGTGATACGACTTAGCGCCTCTTCCTGGGCGACATGATGATGATCAATCGATTTTGTAAGCTGGTCTCAAATTTCGTGCTCGGCTTGAAGTGTGCGGGCCAACGCATCCGGAGCAGATTGACTAATTGTTTGTTTCTCGGTTAAAGCTACCATGGTTTTGACATGCTCGGATTGAAGACGTTCGTTGCGCTGTGAGAGACGAGTAATTTCTTGATGAAATCGTTCCACGACTACTTGGTGCTCTGCGCGGCAATTGTTTAGTGCCGTTTCATTATGTTGCTCGGCTCTCTTAATTTGTTCTTGTAGTGCTCGTGTGCGTTCAACCAATGCTGTATATGCTGCAGTTGCCTCAGCGGTTTTAATGTTGAGTTGTGTGTTGAACTGGATGCGTTGGTTGGCGATGTCTTCAATTAGCTTGGAACGGTGTTCAATAAGTTGGTTTACCGTATCTTGCAGTGCATTGCGCTGATCTCGAAATGTTGCGACGTCATGCTGGAAGGTTTGTAGTAGATTGTGGAGCTCCTGATTGTGATGCGTGAGGATGCCGACTTGGTTTGGAGTTGCAGTGACAATTGTTGAAGCATTGTCTTCTCCAGCCACAGCTTCTTCATTGACCAACGTGGCTTGCATTTCGAGTGGGAAAGTAGCAATTATGGCGCTGGCTTCAAGAACGGCGTTTGTTGCGCTCATAAGAAGCTGTTTTATTTGCGGAACGGATGCAAGCTCAATTAATTAAAGCAAACGCGCTTGAACCATCATTACTGATGCTGCTTCAGTGAGGGCCGTCGGGCCCGCGATCGTGAGAGAGGTGTTTTCTTGGCTCGCTGATGTAATACTCATAAGAGAAGTATCTGATGAGGAAGGGCTGGATCGAGTCAGATGGCTCTCAGACATTGGAGTGTCATCGCCATCGACCAGCGGGTCCATGATGTTCTTCTTTCAAACTCTGGGAAGTGGTTTTGGGCTCAAAGTTCAGTTGGCAGAGGACTCTAGATAGAAGAAGATTGTGTATTGTTCCCGTGAGGGTTAATCCCAGAATGAGATGTATAGAAGTGCAGTTGTGTTAATCTGCCTGTGACATGTAATGATGTAGATCGTGACATCACGAAAGAAGGTAATGGATGATCTGGGGCCTTGGTGATAGTACCACTGTTGACTTGAAATTTCAACTGGATCACATTTGTCAAAAGCAATCATGGATACTTATGGAACTTACATGAAGTATATTACTCAATATTTACGTGTAACTAGATGCCCTGTTACACCATCCCCCGTGTTAAAACGAGTTTTTACATTTTGTAAAACATCGCCTAGGAGACAGAGAGACTGCGAGCCGTTATAAACGCGCCGTTTATTCTACTCGATTCTCATGCCACCGAAACGTGGTAAGGCTGATGGGTCGCCTGCAAAGGCTCCCATGCAGTCCAACACTAAGCGCCCGCGCCGGGATTTATCGCACCGTCACAAAGTGCTTCAGGCACTGAGGCGAATCTTCCATCTCACTATCATGTGGATGAAGATCCATCTCTCATTGTAAATTACAATGAGAGTACGCCATTTCCATCACCCCAAAGTGGAGATGAGCAAAGCGCATTGATGGGACATATGTCCCCATCATTTGAGACCCGTCCTTGAGGGAGCGTCTATGCTTCCTGCTAGCGAAGGTAAGGCCTCGTCGCCTGCGTCTACGAGCGCAACGACTAAGACTGAGCGCGCTACTTCGAAAGAAGCAGTCGAGACTCAACCAGATGTGACTCCTCATGCTGATGTCTTGACAATTCATAACGGAGAGTTAGACTCACGTGAGTGTGAGCTTAAAGCTACACCAAGTACACCTTCGGACTCACTAGCCCGCCGTCGCGAGGGCGGCTACGTGAGTGGTGACTTGCCACCAATGCCACCTCCATCTGAGTGGATAAACTCGGATGGGTCTAGTGCAGCGCTTTTGAAGCGTACGCTCATAAATTTTATAGCGTCTTTCCTTTGTGAAAAAAGCAGGGCAAAGCACTTGGTCGTGCTTTCCCAATTCCAGTCGTGCTGCATTCTAACGAAACAGACGACGAATATGAAGCTAAACTCAGACGCCGTGTTGCCTTGCATGAAGATGCAACTAAACAGCGGTCGCAGCGAATCAGCTTCGCCATGACGTGTGCGAATGATATCTTGGGTGGTAAGCGACCCCCAATTGATTCTCGCTACGCTTCTTCTGCTAATACATCCGGACCTAGCAGAGCGAGCGTAGCTGGAGCTTCAGCTCGTGAGCAGCCAAAGTCCAGGCACGCCGACGCGCAACGAGTCAACCGGTTCCCAAGAGTCGAATCTCATTGGGCATCTCTTCCATTGGACAAAGATTCAGAGCTTTCGCTTCACAAACCGGTGGGCCAACAGCCTTCCAACAATGAAGCGCGTGTTCCCTTCCGCGTCCACCAACACAGGTGGCGCCCGATAGGAGCGTCGATTACGCCCAGTTATTCGCAGCTGCCTACCCTGCTGCTGTTCAGTCGCAGACGGATATCGCTTCGCTAAAGATAGAGGTGGCAGATGTTTCGAGTCAAGTCTCGCGACTGAATTCGGATCTACACGCTGTGATACGAGAAATCGTCAGGAGTATGACCGCCTAACACTCCGTTTGGGTTTACATGAGCGACTGGTGATGAGAGACCCACATCAAGCGAGGAGTTCCCCTCGATCACCGAGTCCTCTGTCGTTGGTCTCGTATACGGGAAATCGTTCACCTTCCCCGTCGCCTGATCGGCAACGACGCTCGACTCACAGTCGACGTCACCATTGGTCTCGTTAGACTGATGCGGATATGTGATCTCTTCTGGATCAACATACCGTTTCAGACGACCCATGTAAAATACGGGGTGCGTCTTCATAAACCGTGGAAGAGTGAGCCTATAGTTTAGGTCTCCAACCTCATCGACCACCGTAAATGGCCCAATGAATCGGGGCAATAGCTTAGTAGTACCACCAGGTAGTACAGAAATTGCGTTGTTAGGTAGGGTAGCAGTACTTAATAGCACTTTGCCCCCAAAACTAAAGTGTTCATTGTTTTTTTGGAGCCATGCTGGTCCCCATATTGTTTTTGCTTGTCCTGTGCGCTTGCCATTACGCCATGGACTTTACGTGTGATGGCTAATCGCTCATCCACGAAGCGCTGAGCTTCGCTCACGCTTTTAGCATCTAGCTTGCCTATGAAACCTACAAGTGGTCGGTCATGGGTCGACGCTGTTGATAACACGATAGTGTCATCGTCAAGGAGCACAGTCATTACTTGCTGTGCCTCCTCATTGGCACCCATAGGTGTCGTGACCACTGCTAAATTAGCAGTGTCACTAGGGCAACCTTGGCCCTTTTTGGCATTCGCACCGAGTCTTAGTGAGGGGCCCTCCCCCACTAAGACTCGGGCTGCGCACAAGCGAGACTGGCGTCCGAGGATGGCGCAGTCCGTTAATATAAAACGGTGTTTCACCCGTACTGGCGTGAACACTGTTATTATTAGCAAACTTCAAGAATGGCAATTGCTTGCTCCATTCTTTAGGAGTCGCTACTGTACGCAACACATATTTCACGACTTGATTGGCCCGTTCTGTTTGGCCCTCGGTCTGGATGATTGGCTGTTGACATATGGAGCTTGTGGAGCTTGCTACCTAGCAGCTCAAACACGTGGCGCCAAAAACTGACGTAAAACGCGGATCCCGATCCGGTACTACGGATTCGGGCTTCCCGTGTAGTCGGTACAAATGATCCAGAAACAAGAGGGCAGCCTCTTTTCCTGAGATCTTGGTGCTACATGGTGCCAATTGAACCATCTTGCTCAGTCTGTCTACAAAGACGACGATACCCGTCCTGCCTTTATGGTCAGGCGGTAACCCAAACATGAAGTCCAAACTGACCGACTTCCAACATTCAGTTGGAATCGGCAGTGGCTTCATTGGCGCAACTGCTAGAAGGTGCAGGCTTAATGCGCTGACACTCTTCACAAGAGCGAATATAGTTGGCCACCCACCGATATAGGTGGGGCCACCAAAATTTCTCTGACACTCGTAAGAATGTCTTTTCACGGCCCAGATGCCTACTAGATGGCGCATCATGGCATTCGTGAAGTATCATCAGTATGAGATCTGAGTATAGATTCTCAGAGGATTGTGGTGGAGTGGGATTCGCAAAATTGCTGATGCGACTCCAACTCTCCACTGTCGCCCGGACGACCGACTAACGGAGGGGGTACCCCGATTCCGTGTATAAAGCCTTCCTCACCTTGTGGACCCATCGGTGGGGCTGGTTGCTCTCTTCTCGCTGGACTTGAGTCGATGTTGATCCTAATTGGGTTAGGGATAGGAGGCTTGGTTATCTTGTGGAAATCTTCACAAGATAAACCGAGTACTTGGTGTGATCTTCCCAATCGATCACGGTTATCCAATAAAACGAAGCTTGAATCTTCTGACCACTTGAGCAGAACCTTCTGACCACTTGATCCGTCCTGCACTTGCTTCGCCTTGTCCTACGTGTTTTATCTGCGTCCGATCGCAGTTGAGTTGTGTTGAGAGTTCTTGCAATCCCTGGCCAAACAATCCAGGGATATGACTTGCGAAGTGTGTAGGCATCCTCGAGACGTTGGGTGGCCAAAGAATCCAGCCCGGACGAGAAGTCGACACGTGTATTAGAAGTAAAATTGAACTTTGTTTAGTGTTAATCAATCAAAACTCGAAACCTACGACTCTGCCTATCTGTAGTCCAGGATCTATCACCACGTGTCACCCTTTCAAATAAAATCAGATCTCGATATGTGGTCCACCCCAAATGCCTTTGCCATCCCGATCCATCGGCGATCTTGCCTTATCCTTGGATCGCGATCTGAACCAGATCGCGTATCAGTTCAGGATCGCGGTCGATACATAATGCGTAAACCTTGTGAACTGGATCGCGAGCTAAGTTGAATCGCGGTTCTGAGTCGAATCGCAGTTCTGAGTCGGATCGCGCTTTACCTTGGATCGCGATCGATCCTGGGTGTGTGGTCCACATAACTTGGATCGCGATCTCCACTCCACGAAATTTGTTTATCCGCTCTTATACAATCGCCCCTGCACCGTTAGCCGGCATACAGTGTTGGCCAGACTGTGCATCGCATCCACAGTAATTGCCCCAGCCATCCTCATGTCTTCTTCTTCGTCTGCGGCCGCTTCCCCTGGTAGCCGGGATGGTTCCGATTCCGTCATATCTGCAAGCTCTTCAGCTGTTTCGAGACCTGAAAAGTCTCGCCTAACTTTTGATCCGCCTATGAAACATTTTTCCGGATCGCAGATCTTGTTTCCTTCTTCTCGTGTAAAATTCTCGCCCGTGATGGATCGTCATACCTTGGAGTCGTCAATCGCGGCATTATACAATCGTTTGGACGCCCAAACTGCCGTCGTGGACAGTTATCGTTCCTAGGAAGATTCTCTACGAGAACAAGAGGTGCGCTCTACTCGGTTGGAACGTGAATTGTAATCCTTCCGGGAATTAGCATCTTCTCTACTTAAATTTGTCTTGGATCGCTACAAGCGGCTTCAGGAACGTTACGGCACTGCGATCCAGAAAGCTCAAGACTTTGAAGATGAACTGGGCCTACGAGAGGATTAATCTCAAAAGATTGCAAGTTTGAGAACCACTTTACTCAAAGCAAACACGGCGAACCAGCACGCTCAGGAAAGACACCGACGAGAAATGGCCGTGATTGAGCAAGTCTAGAAGGATCAGTTCCAGATACAGCTAGCTTCTTTCCAGGACCGTCTGGATACACTCCAAGCCACCCATGATGATCTTTTGAATGAGAATCTTCGCAAGATGTATTTTTG